ACAGGCATAAGTGTCGTTCCATCAAAATTACCCCAAGTATTGTCAAGAAAAGGTAAAAGGCAGATTGGTAGCCTTACTTCTGGAGAGAGGGGATCTACGATCACAACTATTGTTTGTATGAGTGCAGGTGGAATATTTGTTCCACCACTATTTATAATTCCACGCAAGAAACGCTCAGATTTGTTAAAAGGAGCGCCGCCAGAATCAATATACGAATGTCATCAATCCGGTTGGGTTCAAACATACATTTTTACAATATGGTTTCGGCACTTCATAAAACACGTAAAACCATCAGCTGCTTCACCAGTATTGCTCGTCTTGGATGGTGATTCGAGTCATACAAGTAATATTGAGCTTGTTGATTTGGCTAGGGAAAATCACGTATCTATCGTATCCATCCCTCCACACTCAAGTCACAAAATACAGCCGCTAGATAAAACTTTCATGGGACCTCTTAAGAGTTATCTTTCGGAAGAAATACGTGTTTGGATGCGTTCGAACGGCAGAGCTTTGACACCCTTCGATATGGCAGAGCTATATGGAAAGGCCTATTTGCGAGTTCACAGTGGGAAAATCGCAATTAATGGATTTCGCACAACCGATATATTTCCTCTGAACCGATATATATTTCGCGACGATGAGTTTTTGGCTGCCGACGATGTAGCATCGCATTCTCCTCCTCGAGAGTATGAAAGCACTTATGAAGTACCAGAGGAAATACTAAATAACGAAATCATTGTAGAGTGTCCGCATCCAATAAACGATATTTGTAATGGAAATTTAAATCGTTCAGTTCTAAGCGAATCCAACAGACGCCAGAATATTGATTCTAATGAACCCAGCACCTCCAAGGGAATTATTAAAAAACTAAATTTTGCAAAAGAAAAGTGTACAGGTACGACTGCTTAAATAAAGATTTTGATTCACTTTTTAAAACTTTCGTGCTCTATTTTCATTCAAGCACCCAAAAAACACCAAGATAATTCTAGTCAACCCAACACTTCCAAAGCACTTATGAAAAAAATTAATTCAGAAAGAAAAATGTGCAGGTAAAGTTGCTGAAATCAAGGTTTTGATTTGACATTTATAGATATCATTTCATTCTTTATTTTTATTTCAGGAAAAGGGAAGAAAACAAATTCCTCATCCTCTTCGGACTGGGATGACAATTACAGTGTCCGTGACGAATCTGACGGCGAAATTCTAGAATTTGTAAACGCAGCTGAGAAAGAGGATGCAAAATGCCTATATTGCTCTACGTTTTATTCTGAAGATCGGTCTGGTGAAATATGAGTTCAATGTGTCTCTTGCAAAAATTGGAGCAATGAGGAATGTGCTGGTTGTGAACAAGAGCTCTTTATATGCGACATGTTTACACAATAATCACTTCGGCTAATATGGACTACCTGGTCCATATTACCCTCCAATATTTTTTTTCCGCACTTATGGGTATTTTTACGTTTTTTCAATTTATAATATATTTTAAGTTTGGAGTTATTGTTTCACAAAAAAAAATAAAAATTAATTGTTGTTCAAAGTTAATCACATAAATTTGATTGTATTATTGCATGTATTTGGTGAACTATTTAGAAAAAAAAGATTGGTGGTCCATACTTGCCTACTTTACTCTACCAACACATCTTAATTTAACTCGGAATGACGCTGACGGACAGAGTTTATTAGCAAAGAAATAAAAAGGGTGACAAAATACCTTTCCAAGTCTAAATCGCAATAGCTTATGTTCAGTTATTCATTTTTCTAATGCCAATCTTTGAAAAAAGTTAAAAAACAGCATCAAAAATATCATTATTACGATTACGTTGAAATTTTTTTTTAAATATTTGTATGCAAATTTTTTAAGCTTAAACCGTTTTGTCATTTGAGGGGATTTTTTTAACTCTTTAAGAAACTATTTTTATTCATAAAAAACTCCATTTTTGAAGGTATTTTCAAATGGGTTACATGAGGTAAATCTTGATATTTTTCCGAAATAATAGATTTTATAATGCCAATGGAAAAACAGTACCGATATTTTTTTTGTATGGCGAGTGATGCAGTTTAATATATATATATTAATAAATAGTAACTAAGCAAATAACGAAGACAATAACAATATTACTTTCTTGTTTGTTTGTACTTATTTTGCACGTGTTATATTTGGTTTTGTCCTACCTCGAGAATTTCGTGTATATTTCACCAACCAGTTTATATTATATAAATCGATATACTGAAAAAGTGCGCAAACATCCAGCAACTTTTTTTTACAGAATGCAACTATAATCTCCAAGGTATATGTAAATGAAAACACTTTTGCGTGATCCCACCTATTTCACAACTATATGTCTACTTATATAGTCGAAACCCCTTGTTTTTATCCTTTCTATAAAAAAATAAAATAATATACTTAGAACCACAGTAAAAGAAAAATAAGATCACTATGTATTGCCTAAATACCGGAACAAGAAGGTTCTATTGCAGTTTTGATATATCTTTAAAGAAAACTCAGAAATTGCTTGGAAATATGAAATATTAAATCTCGTTTTTCACTTTGCACACACTCAAAGGAAAAAGTGACGACTTTAAGAGTAAATTGCAAGAAAACGTAAAATTTTTAGCAAAGTATTTGATTGCATATTGATGTAGAATTTTATTTACTTTCATTTGGTTCTAAAAACTTCTTGGGCTTTGATTTTAATTTTTTGAATTAATCTCCAATTTCGATATCAATTACCCCACTTTGGGGCTTGAGAAAACGCGTGATTAGAGCGTAATATTTTGTGTTTATGTATTTGGGTATATGTAAAAAATGCTCACCTCTTAAAATTATTTTAGTGGTCAGTACTGGATAATCCTTACTAATATAAATGCGAATGGTTTGCTTGTTAGGCTTTAACTACTCAACCGATCATAATGAAATTTCGCACACTAGTGTCATGAAATTAGGGGATAGGAATGAAAAAATTCCTGTTTTTTGCATATCTTATATATTTTACAATAAATCAATATCATTTTTAAAATTTTAGTTTTACAACCATTTATATTTAGTTTGAAATCTCTTGACATAAAATTACCCTTAATAATAAAGTATTCCGAATATCTTCTCGAATAGCCAAGCGGCCATTAAGGCACTCTCTTCTACCTCTGTTAGATCTCAATTAGTTGAGGACTGTCGGAGAAAGCTGGCCTATATCTCTGACCAATACGAAATTACCCTAATACGGGTCCCGAGACATAGGGACATTTACGGAAACAAGGCAGCGGACGAACTAGCAAGGGGCGGCTCCGCACTAAATGTGTGCCACGCAAAAATTACAGAAATTTATCACTTGGAGGACAAGCAGAGGTAGAACCGTACAGGATCGTACGTAGAAGATACCTACAAACTTACTGCAGTGTGCACAGAGTACTGGCCCGTTGGGGTAAAAA